CAGGTGCATGCCTAGAAACTCATCGAGAACTAGTGAAGTATTTGAAGCATTATCAAATCTCGAGAAAGTTTTCAAGGCCTTGAATCGGGCCAATCGGAAAAACAAACAACTGAACAATTCAAACCAGACATGGGGATAATGTGGTAGACCTAGTTGCGCCATTAGCGCCAATGGCACCTCTTGTGCCAGAGGCTGCTCTATATGACTAGGCACAACCCACAGCAGAGAACTTCGCCACAGCAATTTTAGTCCCACAGATACAAGCTGAATCGTTTCAAATCACGAAAAACATGTTGTACTTGTTGCAAAACAAGGGACTATTTTCAGGGTCACAAATCAAAGATCCTCAACAGTACTTGAAGAATTTCCTATCAATCTACCAAACTCAAAGGCAGCCCAACGTAACTCAGGAAGCAATAAAGCTGTTGTTGTTTTCATTCTCACTGACAGGAGCTGCCCAGACCTGGCTGAAATCACTCCCCATTAATTCCATGATAACTTGGGAGGAGTTAGTCAACCAATTTGTGAACATGTTTCATCCACCCAACAAGACTGCTCAATTAATTGATGAAATTTTGAGTTTCAAACAGAAACCAATGGAGACACTACAAGAAACATGGGAATGATTCAAAGGGATGTTGGTTATATGTCTGCACCACGGTATTCCAGATCAGATGTTGGGGGTAGCGGTTTTACATGGATTTGGCAGATGGCGTAAAAGGTAATGTTGATGCTTCAGCTGGTGGAGCATTTTTAAGCAAAACATGGAGAGAATGTCAGAGTCTGCTTGACAAGATGGCACAGAATTTGGGGTGGACAACTAGGAATGCACCTATCACTCTAGTGGTTCACTTAGTGCCCTTAGATCCATCCAACACTCTTGTTGAAAACATGGACACATTAATGACACAGATGAGTATACTCACCAAAAAGGTGGAAGAGTCAGGGTTGAAGCAGCAGGTACACATTGTAGATACTACCAATGGTGGCTTATGCACATCTTGCATTAGTCAGCCAATTGGTAACCAGTGGAATGCAAAAAGTGATCATCATCACTACCTTGAGGACATGAATTATGTGTCTAATTATGGAGGCCAGAGATAGGGTGGTCTAAATTGGGGCCAACAAAGTTAGCCATACAGGCCAGTCTAGCCTCAGCAGAACAATGGAAACATGGGAGGTATGAGACCTCACAATAATATGGCACCTTACTAAAGGCCACAAGGATATAATAATCAAAATTAATAGCAGGGCTATCATCCTCCTCAGTAACAGCATGGTGGAAGGCAGGAAGATGGGTTTGCTAGACTCGAGGAAATGATGCAGCAGGTTATTGGGTCAAATGCAAAAATGAGTGAAAGAGTAGATGCACATGAGTCAGCTATTAAGAATATTGAAGTGCAGGGGCCAGATTTCGATGTCTTTGAATAATCGTCCTCTTGGGATATTTCCTGCAGACACGCAGGTAAATCCAAAAGATCAAGGCCCGAAGCAGCTGATGGCAGTGAGTCTACGTAGTGGCAAAGACTTAGACTTGGAGCAAGACAGGGCTCGAGAAAGCAGACAAGCTGAGACACTTGTACCAGTGCCCATTGAGCTAGATGAGTTAAGAAACTGATAGAGATGATAGTACAGCCTGCCCAGGAAGAACATCACACACAGATTGAGGCTGAGAAAGAAGCTAAGACAGCCTAGGAACCGGTAGTTGAGGTGGTAGCTGACAAAGAAAATACCCAAATCATTGGGAAGAAGAGACCCACCGCACTATTCCCATAGAAGTTGGCCAAGTACCAAAAAGAGGAACAATACAAGAAATTCTTAGAGATGTTGAAACAAATCCAGGTAAATATTCCATTGATTGATGCTTTGAAGGAGATGCCTGGTTATGTAAAAATGATGAAGGACTTGATGTACCGAAAAATTTGATTTCCAAGACTTGGCCACAGTGACTCTTACTCAGACCTACAGTACAGTGGTGACTAGACCAATTGCTGAGAAGCTATCTGACCCAAGGAGTTTCACAATTCCCTACACCATTTGTAACTTTGATTTTGCCAAAGCACTTTGTGATTTCGGGGGCTAGCATAAATCTTATGCCCCTGGCGATCTATAAGAGGTTGGGGATTGGAAGAGCTAGACCTACTTCTATGTTGTTGCAGCTGGCTGACAGGACCGTGAAAAGACCCTCTTGTATCTTGGATGATGTGTTGATTTATGTAGGGAAATTTGTGTTCCTTGCAAATTTTGTGATTCTAGATTGCAAGGTGGATGAAGAAATTCCTATAATTTTGGGAAGGCCATTCTTGGCCACTAGGAGAGCTCTCATTGATTATGAGACTGGGGAGCTCAAGATGAGGTTGAACGATGAGGAGATAATATTCAATGTGCAGAAATCTATGAGGCGACCAAGTGAATTCGCCAATTGTTCTTTTATTGATGTCGTGGATGTAATTGTAGAAGCTAATGATGAGACGTTAAATATTAAGGACCCTCTTGCTGCATGTCTAGTAAATTTAGATGAAGTGAATGAGGAAGAACTGGCAGAATGCGTGTTGTCTTTAGAGGGCAGAGGGTTTTGGGATAGAACTCTTGAATTCAAGCCCCTGCACTTAGAAAACGAAGAAACTCCTCTAGCCAAGCCATCCATAGAAGAACCACCAAAGCTGGAATTAAAGCCACTGCCCGCCCATATCAGGTATGAGTTCCTAGGACCTAACTCCACATTACTTGTTATTATCTCATCTAGTTTGTTAGATGTGCAGGCACAACAACTTTTGCAGGTACTCAAGGAGTGCAAGACTGCCATTGGGTAGACCATGGCAGACATTAAGGGGATCAACCCGGCATATTGTATGCATAAAATTTTGCTGGAAGAGTGATACAGACCTTCCAGGGATCACCAAAGAAGGTTGAAGCCCAACACGAAGGAAGTGGTAAATAAAGAAGTAATTAAGTGGTTGGATGCGAGAATAATTTTCCCAATCTCTGACAGCAACTAGGTTAGCCCGGTGTAATGTGTTCCTAAGAAGGGTGGCATGATGATGGTCAAAAATGATAACAATGAGCTGATCTTTACAAGAACCGTCACAGGCTGGAGAATTTGCATGGACTACAAAAAATTAAATTTGGCCACCCGGAAAGACCATTTCCCACGTCCCTTCATTGATCAAATGCTAGATAGATTGGCAGGGAGGTCTCACTTCTGTTTTCTGGATGGGTACTCAGGATACAATCAAATCTCCATTTCACCAGAGGACAGAGAGAAGACCTCCTTCACTTGCCCATATGGCATTTATGCTTTTCGGAGGATGCCCTTTGACCTATGCAATGCACCCGCCACATTCCAAAGGTGCATAATGGTCATATTAACTGACATGGTCGAGGATTTAATGGAGGTGTTCATGGATGATTTCTTATTGGTGGGAAACTCATTCGATGAGTGCCTTATAAATCTGACCCATGTGCTGAAAAGATGTATTGAGACTAACCTGGTACTTAATTGGGAGAAGTGCCATTTCATGGTACAAGAGGGCATAGTTTTGGTACAATGGGTATCAAGCAAGGTAATCAAGGTGGACTGTGCTAAAGTTTACATGATAACAAAGCTGCCACCTCCCACTTCACTCAAGGCAATCAGGAGCTTCCTCGGGCATGCCTGTTTCTACCGAAGATTCATAAGAGACTTCTCAAAAATTGTCAACCCTTTCTGTAAGTTGTTAGAAAAAGATCACCCCTTCTTGTTTTTTGATGATTGCATGGTAGCATTCGAGGAGTTGAAAAAGAGGCTAGTCACAGTACCCGTCATTTTTGCCCCCGACTAGGAGCAACCATTCGAACTTATGTGTACCGCTAGTGACTATGCAGTGGGGGCAGTGCTAGGACGGCGGAAAGACAAGCTAATGCACCCAATCTACTATGCCAGTAGAATGCTGAGTGGAGCCCAGCTGAACTACACTATGACTAAAAAGGAGATGTTGGTTGTGGTGTTTGCATTCAACAAGTTCAGGTCATACCTGATTGGCTGTAAGGTAATTGTATATACTGATCATGCAGCTCTCAGGTACTTGACTGAGAAGAAAGAGTCCAAACCACGCCTGATTCGTTGGGTGCTATTACTGTAAGAGTTTGACCTCGAAATTTGTGATTGTAAGGGCACAGAAAACCAAGTTGTTGATCATCTATCACGACTTGAGGGAGCTAAAAACTCAGTTGAGGTTGAGGATATTCTGGAAACCTTTCCAGAAGAGCAGCTACTCACTACAAGCCTTGAGGAAGTGCAAACTTTGCAAATTACCTGGCAAGCGGTATAGTTCGCTATGACCTTTCCTCGGTACAAAAGAAAAGTTTTATCGTGACTGCCGCATGTATTATTGGGATGAACCTTATCTGTTTCAAATATGTGTTGACAATATGATCCGGAGGTGTGTCCCAAAGATAGAACAATCTTTTGTTTTGCAGGCATGTCACGCATCGGCGTATGGAGGGCATTTTAGAGGAGGGAGGACGGGCGCGAAAGTGCTAGAGACCGGGTTTTCTAGCCAACAGTGTCTAAGGATGCACATCAATGGGTGATGGTCTGTAATGAATGTCAGCAAACCAGGAATATTTCTCGTCGCCATGAGATGCCCATGAACCCAATTCAAGAGGTTGAAGTGTTCGATGTCTGGGGGATTGACTTCATGGGCCCCTTCGTTAGCTCCTTTGGTAATAAGTACATACTTGTTATTGTACATTACGTGTCCAAATGGGTAGAAGCTGTAGCTTTTCCCACCAACGATGCAAGAGTGGTGGTGGGATTTTTGAAGAAGAATATATTCACCCGTTTTGGGACCCCGAGAGCTATTATCAATGACGGAGGCACTCACTTCTGCAATCGAGCCTTCGAGAAGTTGCTAGTGAAGTATGATGTGCACCACAAAGTGGCAACTCCATATCATGCTTAGACCAGTGGACAGGTTGAAGTGTCAAACAGAGAGATAAAGAGTGTGCTAACCAAGACTATGAATGCCACAAGAACTAATTGGGCGAAAAAGCTAGATGATGCACTTTGGGCCTATAGAACGGCTTTTAAAACATTGATTGGTATGTCACCATATAAGTTGGTGTTAGGGAAGGCATGCCACTTGCCAGTGGAACTTGAACATAGAGCGTGGTGGGCACTGAAACAGCTGAATCTAGACATCGAGGTTGCGGACACAACAAGAATCATAGAATTGCATGAGCTTGACGAGTTCAAATATCTTGCTTTTTTTAGCACAAGGTTGTACAAGGAAAGAATGAAGAGGTTGCACGACAAGAACATTGTGGAGCAAAATTTCAACCCCGGGGACATGGTATTGCTTTATAACTCAAGATTAAGGCTATTTTCGGGTAAGCTCAAGTCATGATGGTCTGGACCATTTCGAGTGGTCGAAGTATTCCCTTCAGGGGCTGTAGAGATTGCCGCAGAGAAAGACTCTCATATATTTAGAGTCAATGGGCAGAGATTGAAACAATATGCAGGCATGAATGAACCAAAGGAAGTGACAGAGATCCATCTAACTGAACCTCAGAGGTCGAGCGAACCTTAAATCCACCACGAACGCGGTGGGACCACGGCACGACCGCGATGAAACACAAAGATTCTGTCTCTCGCCCCTTCACTCACCGCGGCCGCGGTTAACCGCGGTGAGTCGCAACCTCACTATCGCCCAGGTAAGTGAAAACTAACTTTTTTTATTTTTTATTTTTCTTTTCTAATTCCCCCCCCCCCCNTTCTTCTTCACCTCTCTCACACTTCCACACACACCCCACCCACTTTCCACTCTCTCTTCCCCAACTCCCATGCTTCTCACCCTCTCCTACAACCAGGTATGTCAAGCTTTTCTCTCTTCTCTTGTATTTTTGTTTTAGTTTTATGAAAGTTCAATGCTTTAATTGTTGTAGTATTTATAGTAGATATTTTTCTTTTGATTTTCTTTTCTGTTTTTTTTATGAGTTATGTGCACAATATTGTAGAGAAGTGTGTGCACAATGTTGTTGAGAAGTGTGGGACTTTGTGTGTAAAACTAATTGTGGTAGGCAAAAATAGAGGGCGCTATGGTTAAAGGAAGGGGATTCGAATACCAAATTTTTTCACATGGTGGCGGTTGCAAATCGAAGGAGAAACTTCATAGAGTCATTAGTTGTGGATGGGGTGAGGATTGAGGGAGAGAAGGAGGTAAAAGGGATGATAGTGGGGTTTTATGAGAACTTATACAAAGAGGAAGTTAGTTGGAGGCCGACATTGGAGGGAAGTTCAACCACATAGGGAAGGGAGACAGTGAGTGGCTAGAAAGGGCATTCGAGGAGGAGAAAGTGCATGAGGTTGTGTCAGAGTTGTGCTGGTGATAAGGCCCTCGGCCTTGATGGTTTCTGCTTGGCCTTCTTCCAGCTCTGTTGGGATACCATCAAGGGGGAGTTGATGGAAGCCATTGAATACTTCCATGTGAATGGTGTTTTCGAGAGAAGTATCAATGCTTCTTTTATTACTATTGTGCCTAAAAAGGAAGGTGCATCTTCTATTAGTGACTACAGGCCTATTAGTCTTGTGGGGAGCATTTACAAGATTATTTCTAAAGTGCTTTCCAATAGACTCAAGAAGTTTCTTGATGTGTCTGTTTTGTCCTCCCAGAATGTGTTTGTGGAAGGTAGGCAGATCCTGGATGCCGCTTTGGTGGCAAATGAACTTGTAGACTCTAGAGAGAAAAATAGAGATCCCGGCTTACTATGTAAGTTGGACCTTGAGAAGGCTTTTGACCATGTCAATTGGGAGTTCCTGGATTTCATTATGATGCGGATGGGGTTTGGGGCAAGATTGGATGGGATGGATCAAGTTCTACATTTCCTTAGTCAGATTCTCTGTCCTGGTTAATGGTAGCCCATGTGGTTTCTTTAGTAGCTCCAGGTGTCTCAGGAAAGGAGACCCCCTATCCCCCATGCTATTCATTCTAGTGATGGATGCTTTGAGTAAAATGATGGATCAAACGGCGGGTGGAGGCTTCTTGAGAGGATTCTCAGCTCCGATCGGGGTGCCCAGTGCCCGAAGAGTCTCCCATTTGCTTTTTCCGGATGACACCCTAGTTTTCTGTGATGCCGATATGGATCCTGTAGTTGTTTCAGATATTATCAGGTTTCAAAAACAACCTCGGTAAGTGTGAGATTTTCCCGGTGGGTAGAGGTTGCTAACATCGATGCTTTGTTTTATATTCTCAAATGTAAGGTGGGCTCCCTTCCCACTACTATCAGGGTCTCCCATTGGGCAATTTGTTGGTCCAGTTGGGGAAATAGCTGTGGAGATTCGAGATAGAAGAGAATGCTCTATGGAGGGAGGTCATAGTAGAAAAGTACGATTCCGCGAGAGGGGGTTGGAGGACCAAGGCAATCACAACACCTTTCGGGTGTGGCATGTGGAGGAGCATCATGAAGAATTGGGAATCCTTCAGTGGCAACATCTCTTACAAGGTGGGAGATGGAAGGAGAATCGTCTTTTGGAATCATAGATGGTGTGGAGAGGTTACTCTGAGGGTCTCTTTCCCCTACGTCTTCAGAGTTTCAAACCAGAAGGAATTGATGGTCCAACAGATTCGTAAGGAGCATGTCGAGGGTAGTATGGGACCTCTCATTTAGAAGGAACATGCAAGATTGGGAGATTGCGGAGCTCCAATATTTATTGACATTGCTATATGGGTAAGACAGGCCTCAGCCATCTTGTGATTCTTGGAGATGGGGTTTGAGTGGCGATGGTCTGTTCACCATAAAGTCCTTTTACTAGAGTATGTTGGTGAGAGAGGAGGCCTCTTTTCCATACCCCTCGATCTGGATTCCTAAGGCGCCCACGAAGGTGTGCTTTTTTGCATGCCTAGCGGGGAAGGGAGTGATTTTGACTGCTGAGAATCTGTGAAAGAAGGAAATTACACTTGTTAGTTGGTGCTATATATGTAAAAGCTCAGGGGAAGAAGTTGATTATCTTTTGTTGCATTGCCCTATGTCCTCGGCTTTGTGGAGGGCGATACTGAATCTTTTTGGTGTTCAATGGGTGATGTCAAGCACTGTAAAGGAAATGCTATATAGCTGGGCCGGTTTCCGTAGAAGAAGAAAGCAAAAGACATGGAAGTTCGCCCTGTTAGCTCTCATGTAGATAGTTTGGGGGGGAGAGAAATATGAGATCTTTTGAGGGGATTGAGTCTCCTTTTTCACATCTTAAGAATAGTCTTTTATCTTTGATCTCTTTTTGGTGCACTCATATAGCTCTATTTTGTATAGAAGATTGGGCGTCTTTTGTAGAGAATCATGTTCTGATGTAAATTCTCTACTTTTTGGTATACTTCTTGTATACGGGAGTTCTCTCCCTTTTGATTAATACAATTTACCTTATCAAAAAAAATGTCAGGTGTCATCTAATTTGCTTGTAACCCGGTCCAATTATGACCATTTTGGTCCATCGATGGTTGACCTGCAAATGACAGCCATATTAGATGACCACTGACTTTTTTTCTTTGTTTGAATAATGCGGCCACATGAGATTGTTAATAAATTATAAAACAAATGGGACTCAAGAGGATACAAATATAGGTATAATCTGTAATTAGGAAACAACAGCTGACAGATATAATCCAAAATAAACAAAAAAATTGCACATGATATGATGCCATTTATCTAGGATTAGTCGAGGGTATGTAAATGAGGGGGAAAAGGAGCTGTTTAAGAAGAGACATCTACAAAGAGCTAGAAGAGCCTGAAAGGACTAAAGAGATGTATGTTTGTATCAACTAAATTTGTCAGATTTACCTTGAAAAGAAAATTATTTAGCTTGTACAAGTTTCTTCGCCCAAAGAAAAATATTTTTTCTCATTGAGCTTATTTTAGGGTCCTCTAATAATATGTCATTTGTTACATTTTCTTCATTGTATAGGGGATGAAATTGCTTCCAACTGGGAGGAAAAATATATTCTACCTGACTATCTATGGTTAAGTAGTTAGATATTTTGTCCAAACAATTCATATTTTAGCTTTTATAAATTTTCTAGCTCTAATGTTCTTAATGACATTCAATCTTAATCACGTTTCAGCTCAGGGCAGGATCTTTTTTGGTGCATCAATTCTCAATGCTGATAAATTCCGTTGTCTCAAACTTTGGTCTTGGTGAAGAGTTTCACAATCTAGTATGTTCTTTCTTTGTAAAAGATGTTCTTTATAGTTTATCAATGGATTAATCCTCGTCTGTCTTTTTTTCTTATCTCATCTTGTTACTATGTGACTTGTCATTATTGTGGTCAAACTTTTTTTCTTTGCTTTAATGTTTTTCTGATCCTCAACCTTAAAAGTCCATGGGCAATTTACACTTTACCTACTATTATGTCTGAGTGCAGTTCATTTGAGTTTGAACACCTAGACATTTGTGCTTTGTATTAGTTAATTCAACTTCCTAATAGGATACCTGATCTAGAACTTGAGTTAATTCTTTTGTAGACATATTGTATGAAGACAGCTAGGAACAACATAGTCTTCTAAGGGCATATTGCTTTAGCCCTCCCTCCATTCATGATTTAGTAAAAGATCATATAAGCTATTAGATCTACTCAGCTTTCTTAGGTTTTTTCTGTCAGCATTTGTGATTTAATTAACATTTTGGAAGTCAAGCTAAGTGAAACTTAGGTTATAAATTTTTTTTGTTGGTAATTCTAATGTTGAAGCTAAAACTTTCATGAGCAAAGAATGAGTGAAATAGGCTTTATATAGAAAGAATTTAGGGCAGCATCATTTGATTTTTTTCATTCAAAATTACCCCTCATCAACTCCTCTTTTGTTCAATTTAAACCCTGAATTTTAAACTTATTTGCTGAACTACCCAATCTCCACCTTCCTGGAACCTTCCCAAACAGTTAGGAAAGATTCCTCGTATCCAATTTTCCTAAATTACCCCTTAAAGACTTACTAATTACTTCTAACCACAAACAGACCTTTGAGCCAATATGCACCCTGCTTCTTTGGGCTTCTGCATTAGCAGACTCTAACAATCCTTTAGGCTTCTTGCACTAGCAAGCCCACCTTCCAACCCTAAACAAACAACTCACAAGGAGTTCTGGATCCTTTTCTCTTTTTTATTTTTTGAAAACGAAAAATAAAAAGAAAAGGAACAAGGGCAAAGAGTCGAATCAAAAAAAATTAAATTAACTGCTGCTATATTAATATTACTAATTTAAACAACTATAAACTAATATGCCCTATCATGCAAGCAGAAATGGATTTGAGCAAGAAAAGTAAGAAAGAAAAAGAAAAAATCAAGGGTAGACGAAAATAGAAACAAACAAATAACAACAAAAGAAAAGAAAAATATGAACGAATAAACAAAGAAATCAGTGAGTAGTGGCAAAGGAAGCAGAGATGAACGACTGGTCACGCTCGATATGTTTCATCGAGCCTAGAAACTCACCCTAATGAACTCCCTTAATCAAAGCAGAAATCTTCAACACAAATCCAACCCTGAAATTGGATCAAACCCTAGATTCCAAATTCGACAAATTCTAGAGTTTGTTTGGGGAAATTGCCA